AACACAAAATAGCTGACAGGGCAGCAAACTTACATACGCAGTGAATCACCAGGAGGCAAGAGGTACAGGAGACAATGCCAGGACAATCACAAACACCTGGAGCACACAGGGTGGAAACAATCAAGACAATTAACAGGGAGTGTAGGGATGGGACCCGCCACAAGGGGGCACCATCCTTACATTCTGGTCCCTCCTAAAGCCAAAGAAATTCAATTTAAAATCTTAAATAGAATTTATCCTACTAAGGAATTTGTAAGGACAAATTTTTAAATGGACACTGGGAACTGTGTTTTCTGTGAGACAGAGAGTGAGAACCTGGAACATCTTTTCTTTGACTGCATGATAGTTCAGCAAGTTTGTCTTGATCTTAAGATGTGGATCGAGTCCAAAGGGATCCAGCTACTTACTCTCACTTTAAAAGAAATCAAATTTGGGTTAATTAATAAGATTGGAAATGATGAATATGCTGTCAATAATTTGATTATATTAACTAAACATTACGTTCATAAATGTCGTTTTTTCAAATGTAAACTTAATGTGAACCACTGGAAGACTGAGCTAAAGTGCTGTGCAAAATATTTAAAATATGTAAAAGGAAAAAATGCTGGTAAATTTCTTGGTTAATTTCAATTCCCTCATATAATGCCTTTTTTATCGTTCTTTATTTATTTATTTCCATTATGTTATGAATCACCTTTTTGTAACTTTTGATTGTAAGAATTGGTACTTTTTGTTTTGTATTGTTATGGTTAAATAAAGTAAAATAAAAAAAGTCAGTTACATTCAGAGTTAGACACTTGGAAACTTTTTGTATAAATACAACAATAATAATAATAATAATAATAATAATAATAATAATAATAATAAATACAACAATAATAATAATAATAATAATAATAATAATAATAATAATAATAATAATAATAATAATAATAATAATAATAATAATATATTTATCGTGATAAAATGTTTGTTGTTTTATTTTAACCAAATGAACCGAAAATGTGAATGATTTACAGGCTCTTAATGTGAAAACTTTACAGGAAGTCACTGTTCGACAACCCTCGGAACTGTTCGTAAATGTTCGGAAGTTTTCGGATTCACTCGGTTTATTTTCATCGCTGCCTCTTTCCGAGCACAGCGAGATAAAATCCGGATCCCGAGGATGTTGGACCTACCGAACCGGGATCAGATTCGGGACCGGAACTCCCAGTAGAACCGGGTTCAAAGAGGTTCGGGTCCTGGGCTGAGAAGTTCCGGGAAACCGAGCGCTTCATCGCTGCAGATCCGGGTCGGAGTGGGCTGCGTCCGGCTGACTGAGCCAGAACCATGTACCAGGTCCAGGTGAGTTCTAAAGTCCACCGGAAGCTCCCAGGAACGGTTTTACATTCAAACACATTTAAAGTCCCTAAAGGAAATGAAAAAGAAGTGTGTTAAAAAGGTTCTGACAGAACCAGCTGATGGAGAACATTATATTTAATGTTCTACTGATGGAGAACATTAAATGTTCTGTTGACCTGCTCATGGAGAACCTTATTTATTAAAATGTGGAACTTTTTGTTTCATTCCAAATTTAAGAACATTCCGAGTTCTGACAAAAACAACAAATCCAAAAAATCATGGAACCAACGGAACATGGAGTAGATCTCTGAGGTTCTAGGAGCACGTTCCCCCTCAGGTCTGATGTTCCACCATCATTGTTCTTACATCCTCCAAGGTTCTTTTGTGACAAAGTTAATCCAGTTTAATCTGAAAACAACGTTTTCCTTTAAAAAACTGTAAAAACCTTCGACTTATTTTCTTATGAACTCATTTAAAGTTTAAATTTTTGATTAAAGATGTTTGTGACGGTTGTTGTTCCCCTCGGAGAACATCGCCCTGCTTCTGAACCCGGTTCTGATGTTTCACGGAGCATCTGGATTTAACTGGGTCCAGAATTAATCTGTAGTTTTACTGCAATGAAAGAAGATGAGAGTGGAGCCGTTAATCATCATCATCACAGCTCCATTATCTTCATCACTCTTAGTCTCTGCAGCCGGACAGAGTTCATCACTAGAAGATCAACCAACTCCAGGCATTAGTCTGATCCCCTCAGATGATCCTCAGAAAACTCATCACTTTCAGAGTTCTGATGACTTTCTGCCTTGTCGAGCTCTGAGCTGGTTTTCAATTCATGAAACACGCGTGTAATCAGTGGAAGGGTTGAGGAACATCTGCACCTCTTCATGAAGTTCATCACAGTCATCATCATCACCACTTCATAGAGTTCATCACTCAGTCATCATCATCA